CGATCTACTCCTCCAAATAGCCCAAGCGTTGCCCGTGCTCTGATACCACTTGTTGTGACTGATGCTTTGAGAAACCAAACCAACGAACGCCGAGAGAAAGACCAAACAAAACACAAACACCAAGGTTTTACGTGGTTCGGCAAATTGCCTACGTCCACGGGGCAAGAAGGGGGTGGGTTTTCACTAATAGAGAAGGAGAGTACAAATTGAGATTACAAATCGCTCAAACGAACCAACTAATCTCACCAACAAATCTCTCAATCTCTCAACCAATAACCCTAACAAATAGCTCAGAAAGATCTCTCTTTTTCTGTGCTCCAAAACCCCAAAACTCTCCTCACAAAACCCTCAAATCGTATTGGTATTTATACCAAAACAGAAACCCAAACAGACTGCAAATAGGAACCTGAACTTTCCAAAAAACCCGTCATAAGTCGACTTATCAGTCTGCATAAGTCGACTTGGCAGAGCGAAAAACAGCAACTGGAGAAGAGATCATAAGTCGACTTATCAGACCTGATAAGTCGACTTGGCAGAGCAAAAAACCAACAATCCAGAGCAGAACGTAAGTCGACTCATGCACCAACATAAGTCGACTTACCATAAGTCGACTTATGCCTGTGCATGAGTCGACTTATGACCAAAAATCTGCTTTTTCCAATTCTTCTCCACAATTCTCCACCTCGGCGAAGTTTTCCCAAAACTGAGCCGACACCAACCAAACAAATGCCTCACATGCTGAGACCCAAATGAGAGTGTGAACACTCACCCCAAATGTCGATGTCGCTCACCAAATCGGCTGCATCAAAATGACTGCCTACGTATCCTTTGCCCAAGGAATCAAGCCTTCACGTAGTTCACCCAAACGGCCTCCAAAGGCCCTCAATCAAATAGAAAAGTCTGCAACTCTTCTCCAATATCACCAAACGATCTGCAACTGATAGTATTCCCAATGACCCCAAATTGAGACAAATCAAACACCTCCACCTGAGGTAAACCAATGGCCATATCCAAACTATATCTACCAGCTGCAACTGAATCCAAAACCAATCCATCATCTGCATCCAAAACCAAATGATCTCCAACCTGTGTCACCTTAGCTGGAATCCCAAATGACGCAGTATGATCTGGAGTATGTGGAGTAATCTCCACCCAACGTGGAGTAGCATCACTCTCCACCTGCTGCGATATCCAAATGACCTGATCAACACTCTCCACCTGCCGAGAGTCAAAAGTGACATACCTGCTCAGAACAAAATCAGAAGCTCCCAAACGATAATCAACTGAGCCTCCGAACCCCAAACGCGCAATCGGATCCAATCTCACATCCACGATGTGACCAAATGCTGGGTATCCAAATATCCGACGCGACCCAAAATCTGAAGCAGCTCCACCAGATCTAATAACTCCTAAAGCAGCAGTCGGCGACCTATGCATAAGATGACCCAAATATGTCGAAGCCCGCACACCAATGCCAATGCTCGACATCAAACGCCGATCCTCCTCCAGAAAGGAACGACCCATCGAAACTGTCATCTCATCTCGTCGCCCCAAAGTCTCCACACCAATGAAGTGTCTCCTATTGCCGTGAGCTCGGCACCAACGCAAGAAAGGACCCCTACCAAAGCTGAAACAATGAGTTACCTTTCTGCCAATACACTTCTTCCAATTGTTGTTGACTTCTAGGACTTTACACCAACGGGAACTGGTCGCGACCCAATAATGCCTAGAACAATCACCAACTGTGGAAACCAAGATACGATTACCTCCCAATGATGCCTCCTTGGAAGGCCCCCAAATGCCTGACTGAACACCTCCAAAAAGACCCCTCGCTCGATGGATAGAAGTGCCAAACTCCACCACGGTCTCGCTCATCCTAATGTGCTCACAGGACTTCAATCTGCAGGTCATAGCACTCCTCAACAACCAATGCACGGTATTACCAATCATATACCCCAGCACCAAACAATGCCACAGTCTAGCCGAATCTGATGAAGTCGTCATTTCCCTATCAATCACCGTGCTTCCGTGCAAATAATACAAATTTCTTCTTCTGACGCCCTTCATCACAATCATGGACCCAAATGTAACCTTCAAGCGTGCATCCGCCAAGGTCACCCTATAGCCAGCTGCCTCCAAAGCTCCAAGTGAAATGATGTTCTTCTTCAACTGAGGAACGAACCTCACTCCAACCAACTCCCGAATCACCCCGTCACTCATCCTGATCCGAACAGTACCAATACCACCAATAGAGCATTTGTGATCATTCCCCATGAGCACGAAATCCCCTCTTTCCAACTCCTGAAAGCTGGAGAACCAATCCCTCCTAGGGCAAATGTGGTATGTAGCACCCGAATCCAATATCCACTCTGTAGAGTAGGCAACACAAACTGACGGCAGTGCAGATAACGAGTAGCCCGAAGAATCCGAATCTGAATCGTTGCCACTAGCCTTGACAACATTCGCCTCTGAAGCTTGAATAGCTTTTCCCTTATTCTTCCCGGCTCGATCAACTAACTTTGGGCAATCGGCTTTCCAATGTCCATCTTCTTTGCAAAAGGCACATTGATTCTTACGAACTCCAAGATGTGCCCCTCTAGACTGCGACCTCCCACTACGGTTTGGACCCTTTGCTCTTGCGACCAACGCCCCCGCTACCGGCTCAAACGAAGTCTCCTTATCCTTCTTTCGAAGCTGATAATTCACAAGTGCAGCGGTGACCTCACTATACGAAAGAGATGCCTTCCCATTAATAAGAGTAAGAACGAAGGTCTCATATTCCTCGTCAGGCAAGGAACTCAATAGCAACAACGCCTTGTCCTCATCTTCAATCTTAACATCCACATTCGCCAAATCCGCAAGAAGCTTCGTGTAGTGGTTCATGTGATCACCAATGGAGGTTCCTTTCTTCAACTGGAAGCGGTAAAGCCTCCTCTTCAAATGCAAGCGATTCTCCACACTCTTGGTCAAATACTTGCTCTCAAGGATCTCCCAAATCTTCTTTGCAGAAGTCTCATTGATCACATCATACTTTAGATCTTGAGTGAGACAAGACCTAATCACACCACACGCCGTTCGATTCATCTTTTTCCAAACCTTCTCATCAATGTTGTCCGGTTTCCCGTCCAACTCCAACGTATCTTCCAAATTTTGCGCGTTGAGCGCATCCATGACTTCGCATCGCCAAAGTCCAAAATTGTTTGTGCCATTGAACTTTTCCACATCAATCTTCATTGAGTGGATATTCAAGCTTTGGACGGTCTTCACGCCGGAAGTACTGCCCACAACTCCTTCTTTCTCGGCCATAATCCTCAAGGCACCACCAAACCAATGCGGAAACAAACGAGAAATAGATCCAAACTGAAAAAGACGAGATTTTTACAAAAAAAGATCCCACCTTTATCACCAAACGAAGCCCTAGATGAACTTCCAAAGCGATCTACTCCTCCAAATAGCCCAAGCGTTGCCCGTGCTCTGATACCACTTGTTGTGACTGATGCTTTGAGAAACCAAACCAACGAACGCCGAGAGAAAGACCAAACAAAACACAAACACCAAGGTTTTACGTGGTTCGGCAAATTGCCTACGTCCACGGGGCAAGAAGGGGGTGGGTTTTCACTAATAGAGAAGGAGAGTACAAATTGAGATTACAAATCGCTCAAACGAACCAACTAATCTCACCAACAAATCTCTCAATCTCTCAACCAATAACCCTAACAAATAGCTCAGAAAGATCTCTCTTTTTCTGTGCTCCAAAACCCCAAAACTCTCCTCACAAAACCCTCAAATCGTATTGGTATTTATACCAAAACAGAAACCCAAACAGACTGCAAATAGGAACCTGAACTTTCCAAAAAACCCGTCATAAGTCGACTTATCAGTCTGCATAAGTCGACTTGGCAGAGCGAAAAACAGCAACTGGAGAAGATTTAGACAAACACCATTAACATCAGCCATCTGTATCTGTTGTGCCTGAAGCTGTGTCGAGGAACCAAACCAAACGCCAATCCAAGAGAGCCAAACGAACCAAATATCAATGCACAAACAAAACACCAATTTTAACGTGGTTCGGCAAGTTGCCTACGTCCACGGGGCAAGGGGGATGGGGTTTTCACTAATAGAGAAAGAGTACAAACTGAGATTACAATACGCTCAAAGGAACAAACTAATCTCACCACAAAGCTCTTAATCTCTCCAAATAAAACCCTAAACAAATAGCTCAAAAATACCTCTTTTTGTGCTCCAAATAGCCCCCAATCAATGCTTAATCAAAGCCTAAACCAAGCCTTGGAAACCCTAAAAACGTGTCTCTATTTATAGCAAAACACAATCCCAAACTGATTGGGATTCTAAAAACGAGTCTGCCACACCCTGCACCGTGGGTGTGGCAGAGGGTGTGGTGCAGGACAGATTCTACCACACCCATGGCAGACACCACACCAGGGTATGGTGGAGTCTGTTTTGGGTTATTCTTCACGTTTTTCACAATTCCTTCGCCGTTTTCACACGGCCCACTCAGGCCCAGGCTCGAGCCGACCAGGTCCGGGGCCCGGTTTCACCCATGACAAACAGGACAGATTCTACCACACCCATGGCAGACACCACACCAGGGTATGGTGGAGTCTGTTTTGGGTTATTCTTCACGTTTTTCACAATTCCTTCGCCGTTTTCACACGGCCCACTCAGGCCCAGGCTCGAGCCGACCAGGTCCGGGGCCCGGTTTTCCAGGCCAGCCCGACCTGTTTGGACGTGCCTACCTAAATCCAAGCATTGAATGTATATCGTACTTTGATTCCTAGCTTGATAAAAATGTAATGGCTCCTTTTTATGCATAAAAATATACTCACCTTTTAATCATTCCCTCTTGAGCTGTCCACGGAATATTTTGTTGTACTTAAATCACTTCATTAATTTCCCTACCAGTTCATGCACTCTCCACACTATAAAATAGAACACCACATCTAATCAAATCTCCATCCCAATCTAAGCTTAGCTAGACNCCTCTTTGGAGCAGCGAGCGCAGCTTACCAGGTTTCCTTTGTTCAAGTTTTATAGAGAAGTACTTTGGTATTTTCTGTTAGCTTTGAAGTTGATACGTTTTTGGTTTTGAATTTGATTAGGTTGAAGGTGCAGCAAAACAAGGCGGGAGAGGGCCTAGTATATGGGACTATTTCACAGAGAAGCACCCAGGTAACTCTATCTTGCACTTTTAAGTGTTTGGTTACCAGAAAGTAAATAGAAAGCAGACAACAAATTTTTTTTTTTTTTTTTTTGACAAAGCGACGTGATTATCTGTTTGTTTCAGTTTGACAGATGGAAATTGACTGAAAAAGTAAATGAATAATAAAGAGTGTTACATAACGGTCTTTAATCTTTTACTTAAATTCTCAAAAAAATTTAAGAACTTATATGAAAAATGAATTATTGAGACGAGAAAGACTAATATTTTTAGTTTTCTCTTCTCACATTTTCCACTTTTCAATTCTCTTTTCCCTATCGACCAAACAATTTTTTTTTTGGTCAATGAAGAATTTATTTCATTTCCAAATTTGAAAGTTTGTGTACACCTCAATCATTCAGCATATACAAAGCTGGAAAAAAAAAACACAAGTAAACTAACTACTCACAAAAGAAAGAGAAAACGCTCAGCTATTTTACAAGTATAATAGCTTTCACAGTGTTAAAAGCCATGCTTTATGCTCCGCTGAAATGGGGCTATTGAATGCATTGTTAATGTATCAACTTTGATCTCCCTTGCTATCTGATCAGCACTCCTGATCTCATGCTTGAAAATTATGTTGTTTCTCTCCCTCCATAAGCAATATATTGTGGCCGAAAAAGCTAATCTCTTCATGTTCTGCTTGAAACCTTTCCCTCTTAACCTATAACTGAACCAGTTCTCCACCAAGTACCAGCTACTAGCCCTCCATTTAAAACATAGCCAGTCCATGATTTTATTCCAGATAGTATTTGAATAATATCTCAGCTGTCAATTCAAAATTTCACCTTTTTTGTGTTTTATTCTCCAAACAACATTTATAAATACAAAGTCAAGAAGAAGTGTTTTCTTTTCATATTTTTCATTTACTTTCCTATTACCAAGCATGGAAAACCTGAACAATACTAGTTCTCAGGATGGAAGCATGCACATTTGACTTTGGTGGGGCTAAAACCCAATCTGAATTTTGAAAATTTGTGCTTTTAACCAGCTGTTATCTTCATGTATATCCAAATCAATATTTAATTTGTTTTGATTTCTCCGTCGCTCCCAAATTAAAACCTCTCATTCTCAAACTTTAATAGACCGTAAAATTGTAGTCTACAGATCATCTTATTTTTAGTACTGAGTTCTACTAGACTAATCCTCCTAAGTGAAAATTTCTATCTCAATTATTTTATAGTCATTTTATTCTAATTATATATACACACACATGTCATGCTTAGTTTCCAGTGCCCGGTGTTAATAAAAGTTTGAGATCAACCCTCCTGACAAGTTCAACAACAAATTGGCTAGCTCATAGCACATGTCTAGATGCGTAAAACTTGAATCATGTACTCTTTGACTTTTTTGGTTAAAAATGTAGAGCTGTGAACATTAAATGGACGTAAAAGTGTTAGTAAAAATAAAGTAGGAGACATAATTTTTAAGCGGTGATATACTTTCCTTAAAAATAATATTTGACCTACTTGATAATTTGAGTTTATCTTAGGTTAATGTAAAATTTCTTCCCGGGATACAACAAAAGTTAAAAGTTCTAGAAAGTAAATATGAAAGTTTACAATAATTCTTCGTGAAACAAGTTTGCAGGATTGTAGATTTTTTGGAGAAAAAGTTTTAAGAATGGAGTATTGATGTATGAAATCGTATACTATTTATAGATTTAAAAAGAGCATTGCTACAGGGATCCAAAATATAGGACCAATAGGTAGGACATGTGAGGTGTCCCCCTCTTATTGCATAATGAGCTGGTCATCATTAATGATTGTCAGCTCATTATACAATAAGAGGGGGGCACCTTACATGTCCCCCATGTGGTCCCATATTTTAGGTCGTTGAAGATTTTTTTATTTAAAAAAGTATTTCCAATAGTTATAAATTTTCAAAACACTCCTTCGAATAAATAATCATTTTCCAACAGTCAAAAACAATCATTTTCTAATAGTCAACTTCTAACCGTCACTTGTTTGTTGATTTTTCATAATTTAGAAAATCAAAATAACAATAATAATAATAAATAAAGTCCCCCTATATATGCAAGTTTTCTAGCGCGTCATTTACCATTCCCCAAAAAAGAGTTAATCACTATCAACTAGTAGACCTACGATCTATGTCTAGGGCTGTCCATCCGGGCTTGGCCCCAGAAATCCAGGCGCGGGCCGGGCAAAACTGGAGCCCGGACCCAGACCCGGGTACCCCGGGCCGGGTTCGGGCCCGATCGAGCCGGGTTCCGGGCCAGCCCGGTTTATTTTCTTTTTTTAAAAGTTTTTTTATCAAATTTTTTAAATTTTAACTTATACAAAAAAAGACAAAAAAATTAATAAAAACCAATAATTTTATTAATAACTTAAAATGACATAAATTATAAATAAAAAATTATAAAAATAAATTCTTTATTAATAATTAATAAATTATTTACAAATTACAAGTATAAATTTATTTTAGAATTCATCGCATCACAATAGATAAGTACATCCCAACTAGGTTTTTTTATTTTTTTTCTTTTTTTGATAAAAAAATGCTAAAAATTAGTTTAATATTATTATATTTTATATAATTATGTATTAGTATATACTTACAAATTATTATGTAACTATATATTATATATACATATATTATATGTAAATATATTGTATATATTTATAAGTTATAACTTGAGAGAGAGAGAATCGCATAAGTAGTCGTTGCCCGTTGGGCCAATGGGGAAGAAGTAGCCGTTGTAATATACTATACTTATATATACTTATATACTAAGAGAGAAAGTATACACACACACATATATAAAAGAGTATACTTATATAATAGGGAGTATACATATATAAGAGAGAGTATACTTATATATACATATATACTAAGAGAGAGAGTATATTAGTATATATATATATATACATACATATATAAAATATTATACATAAATATATATAC